AGCCTGAGCCCAGGCTTGGGAAAAGCAGCCAAAATGACATTCTGTGACAAAATGAAGTCAGCCAGACTTATAAATATCCTATCTCTGAATTTAAATAGTGGAAAATGTCTTTCTTTACAGATTTATATTTTTTGATTGGAAATAATACTCTGTACTTTAAAACGAAACTTTTCAATGACCAATGATGTGTTTTCACGTTCATTTATAAATAGCATCGTGTCCTGTGGGTACATCAAAGGCTTCAGCTTTAAAAGCAAAACAAAGGTAGTGCAAAGTCTCGCTGCTAAAACGTGGTCACTGCAGTTTGTTACAAGCAGAATCTTGGAGCTGGGGAGATGATTCAGTGGTTAAGACCACTGGCTGCTCTTGCAGAGGACCTCGGTTTAGTTCCTAGCACCCACCTTGGTGGTTCACGACCATTTGTGACTCCAGTTCGAGGATATCCAATGAATACCAGACACATACATAGTGCACAAACATACATTCAGGCAAACACTCATACACATAAAACAATCTAAAACAACACCCCAGAATCCCAGTGCCTCTCCAAACAGCTAAACCAGACCTTGGTGTTAGCCATAGCCCTGGTGACTCCTACATGCATGAGAACTTGAACGGCACAGGTGTCAGAAGTCAGATGGCAATCCTGTGTTCTTGCTCATGTGAGCCCATGTGTTCCGAGGGACTTGGCCCGTCTCCTTTCTCCTCCATAGCTCAGCTAGTGAGGAAGGACTGAATTTACAGGGTGCTTCATGATGAAAACCCTGTGCAATGTGAGCAAACTCAAGAAGGAAACTGGCCATTTGTATGAGGTGTCAGAGAATCTGACATTCATCAGAACAAATATCCAATATCTAACCATGCATCACGCTTCAGCCATCAGCAGATGGTTCGCCCGATCTTTTAAAGGGCTGCTCAGGCCCGTTTCCCCAGAGTTCAGAAGAGTAAAATTACATTTAAGATGTTTTTATTGAAGAATGTTAAGTTTGTTTTACCAGCAGCTCAGTAATCAGTATTTGTGTATATAATGATCTTTGAGCTACTTGCTAAATTTTTAAAATTGCTTTTCCTTGCACAAGTCATGTGCCAGGATGCTGTTTGTTAATCCAGTTTGTGCTCTGACAATTTCATGCATGCATGTAATGTATGTGGACTGCTCTGACTCCCATGCCCTCATCTCCCTCCCTTCCATATCCATGTCCCATTCCCTACCAGTCTCTTTCCCGGGCTCATGTTCTTTTGTTTTGTTTGTGTACATCTGCCCTTGACAAGGGCCTTCTGTGTGCCCTTGGTTTTGGAACTATCCATTGGAGTCTAGTAGGCTCACCAGGGGTAAATAACTGAAGAAAGTGGTTCCTCCTCATCCCCCAGCCCATACTTAGCCTGTATGTAGTTCAGCATAAGGCATGGGGTTCTGTGAGATGGTCCCTGCCCATCCATGACCGACTGTTGAAACAGCCTGTCTTGTGCAGGACCAGTGCAGATAATTGCAGCTGCTGTAAGTGTGATTATACTGGCTGTGTTGTATCTAGAGGATGGGACACCGTCACTGCCCTTCTCCCTGTTTTCCAGCTCCTACATTCTTCCTATCCCCTCTTCTACAGTGTGCCACGAGTTGTATAAATGTCTGGTTTAGGACTGCACCCTCATCATCACTTCTTCTCAGCATCTTATGCAACATGAGTCTAGGAGAACATCCATGTTTGCCGTCTGGAGGCCTCCAAACAACCCCTGTTGAGCCCAGAATGGAGCCCCAGCAGCTGCTCAAGGATGTTAGCTAATCACTAATTAGCTCACAGCAAGGCCTGAACAGAAGGCTGGTGTCCTTCACACTAATCGTGCTGTTTATGGTAATCAGATTATTTGCATCATTAGTGTCTCAACATAGCTACATGAAGACTCACTAATATATATCAAATATTCATTAAGGATATAGACTCCTGATGGTTGTGAACTCCTTTGGTAGCTAAGAGAAACTGATATAGACAAGGTTATTAACTGTTTAAACTACTCTACCTTGAGATGAGGGTTCGGTGGGATGAAGAAAAAACAGCAGCAAGATAAAACCACGGTTTAAGGGAAAACACATAATGAGAAGCTGCTGCACAGTAAGTAGGTGACATATTATGGAAACATTATTTAATGTTAGGGTTACCTTTGCTGTGATGGGACAGTATGGCCAAAGAAAGTGAGGTTTATTCCAAAAGCAAGTAAAGGTTTGCTTTCATTTACACTTCCACATCACTGCTCATCATCAAAGGAAGTCAGGACAGGACTCAGGCAGGGCAGGAACCTGGAGACAGGAGCTGATGCAGAGACCACCATGGCTTGTTCCCCATGGCTTGCCTAGCCTGTTTTTTAAAAAGCACCTGGGACCACCACCCCAGGAATGGCACCACCCTTAGTTTACCGGCCTCTTCTGCATCAGTCACTAATCTTAAAATGCCCTACAGACTTGCCTATAGCCTGACTTTATGGATGCAATTTCTCAGTTGAGGTTCCTTCCTCTCAGATGACTCTAGCCTATGTCACATTGACAAAAGCTAGGCAGGACAGATATGAGCATCTGTATTGCCCTCAGGCCCCAGTGGTTCTTGTTTCCCATGAGATAACACTTTAACAACAGTGAAAACGAAGTCCTGAGAATAGCTTACTGTTCCTTTTGCTATGGACCTGAGATGCACAAACTCTCATTTCAAATTAGGTTAGATGTTTAAACAATCTACAATTCATAAAATTATGGACATTTTGCCCTTAATTTACTATATGTAGTAAAAAAATTAACTGTTTTCTTCTTATCTAGCTAATTGTCATTAGTGATGTTGGTCTCCAACCATTAAAAATGATTCAGAAGGTTAATTCCTCAAAATCATTTTCTTTATCGTTAAACAGCAATTATACTAATGGATAACACTGCTAATAATATAATAATACAAGTATAACAGAATGCGCTGTAATAATTGTAACAGATTCATGTGGGTAACAACCACACCCGTCTGTACACACAGACTAGTAGTCTATGAGAGTGAGGCCCTCCTGTGTACACCTGGCAGTCCTAGGTGATTTTGTATACCAGCATTCCCAGCACACTGCCAGGAGACGGTGTATCAAAATTCACTCCATAAAAGAGTGCAGTAGCCACAGCCTCACACTTTTATTATGTTTGTCTCTTGATATTCTATCTTAAAAATTTCCAGATTGATGGGAAAATTACTAGCATTTAAAAAAAAAAAAACAGTGTAGCCGGACAGTAGTAGTGCACACCTTTAATCCCAGCACTTGGGAGGCAGAGGCAGGGGCAGGCAGATCTCTGTGAGTTCAAGACCAGTCTTGTCTTCAAGAGCTAGTTCCAGGACAGTCTCCAAAACTACAAAGAACCCTGTCTCGAAAAAACAAAACAAAAAAACCAACCAACCAAACAAACAAAAAACCCAGTGTAGCGCTGCACATCTGGGTCATGTTTGTCAGGGTAGTTGCATCTGTTCTCTGTTACCTCCTCACCCTCTACAGCCCAGGAACACATCAATAGGAAAATGATCAAATCTAGGGGAAAACGTTATTATGTATGTGCATGTGTGAAAGCCAGAGGACAACTTGAATCTCTCTTTCTACTGTGTAGACCCAGGGATCAAACTCAGATCACTAGCCTTGGCAAGAGTGACCTCTACCCTGAGCTGCTTTGATGTCCATCCAAGACAGTTTATCATTGGTTCAGTGCTCCATCTAGTGTGCATTTCATAAGTCATCCAGTCAGTGGTCACAGATAGGCCATCCACTTTGCCCCACTCTAATCTATCTATCCACCCATCCATCTACCACATCCATCCATCCATCCATCCACCCAGGCAGCCACACATCTATCCATCCATCCATCCATTCATCCATCTATCCATCCATCCATCCATTCCTCCCTCCCTCTTTGTAACAATAATGGCCCATAAGTCCTATTGATTCTTATTCTTTACTCTCATTATTCATTTCTATGCTCCAGTCTTCCTAACTCTGCTCATAATCTATCCCGTCAGTGTTACTCTTGTCTCTGGCATGGCCATATCTGTTTCTGGGTGTCATTTATTCTTTATTCCTTAGCATATCTATGTAGATTCAAGCATAAGTACACTAATATTAATATACTTAGCACATCTTCATTCAAGTTAACATCCAAAGAACACATTTTATTCTTTTTTTGGTTTTCTTGAGACAGGGTTTCTCTGTATAGTTTTGGAGCATGTCCTGGAACTCACTCTGTAGACCAGGCTTGGCCTCGAACTCACAGAGATCCACCTGCCTTTACTTCCTGAGTGCTGGGATTAAAGGCATGCACCACCAATGCCCGGCTCACATTTTATCCTTACAACAAATATTTTTTTAAGTTACTGCTATGTCCCTGTTTCTGACATTACTCATAGTCCAGTAGGAAACCAAGCAACTGTATTGCTCTTTAAAATGTGCCACCCTAAATTATGATAATAGTGAGTTATGTGCTCCATGGAGCCACAAGAGAAAATCTTTCAACCCTTCTGTGTCAAGTAAGGACTCCAAGGAGAGTGTTACCAACTCCTAGCCTGAGAGTCCACCTGGGGAAAGAGTGCAATGCCCCAGGCCAAGGAAATGCATGTCCCATCTAGGGAACTGAACAAGTGCGTTAAGTTCCAGCAGTGTAACCAAATGTGTGTTGGAGGTAGGATGTGATGGGGGGATTAGAGAGAAGAGGCTGGGTGGGCTTGCTGGAGCTTTGTAATGGCTGCTAGAGACCAGGCCTAACTAGTGTCCCACAAGCAATAGTATTCAACCTTTCAGGGGGTAGGGAGCTGCCAGAGATATAACAGCCCCAACCCAGACTACTCATGGGGACCACTAGGAGCATACAGTGAGCAGCTAGGGGGCCACACATTTCAGTTTCATACCAGGATTCTGGGGAAACCATCCTGATTAAAGATGTCATGGGACAGAGATAACCCTTGAAATGAAGATTTTAATAGATTCGTTTTATGTTATAGGATTTTGAACTCAACAATGAACTCAAAATGAACGTTATAAACTTACTAGAAGAAGTTCTAAAAGACCCAGATCTTCTTCCTCAAGAAAGGAAAGCCACGGCAAACATCCTGAGGTAAAGGCCAATGCACCTGCTGATGGAATTATGGGCTATGCTCATGGCAAATAGGTCCTATCAGGCCAGAAGGATATGTTTTAGACTTTTCTGGGCACCAAGTTTATATGTCAGTAGAAAGGTATTGTCTATCATCTTCTGCTTTGTGGGGACAGTTTGGGGTCTGCTGTGCAAGGAAGACTTTGGACTGTAGGCATAATTTGTACAGAGACAGTTTCTGTAGAACCACATGGTAAAAGGGTTCTAGGTAAAACCCCTGGGGATTCCTGCTGTGAATCCAGCCAGCAGGGTAGAAAGGGTTTTTGTTGTTGTTGTTGTTTTTATCCTGCTTGTGAGTACTAATTATGGATCACTAGTTCACTAGGCAGGATGGCAGTGTGTCTATGAGGGCAGCTGCATGCCTGTAATGTTTACACCATTGTTAGTTTGCTACACTGGTCCTAGCCAGTTTTTCTATTCACTTCTTAGCTGGGTACTCCTGTGAGGCTGGGTAAAACATGAACCCTGCCTGTCTATGCAATGAAGGCTTGAACTTGGCAGACCTACTAGAAAGTTGTGTTTGTCCATAGTTGTGACATACAGCATTCATACAAATAAACACAATAGTTTCTTGAACTGATGGGAGATTAATTTTTTCTAGTTCACACTTTACATGAAGAGTGCATTCATCAATGGTTTTATGTAGACATGTCAGTTATGGCTTCTCGGCTCACTCATGGGTACATCTTCTGCCCCTGTTTGAGAGTGGGAAGCATGGCATCTATCTGCCAAGGCCTATTACTGCCTCACTATTCTGGTTTTCAATTCTTCCTCTACTTATAGCCTGGAAGTGACCTTTGTTTCCCCGAAGCTTGTTTGCATTGTGTCTTGGTGCAATTGATTATATAGAAGGCATGTGTGGAGACAAGTCCATTCACCTCAGTCTCCCATGCTGTTGGAAGTCCCTCCCTGATACAACAATGCCAAATTTAAAACTGTGGTAATTTAGCAATTGTACCACAAGTCATTCTTATCGCCCATTAAATTCCCAAAGCTATACCCTTGTGATTTAGAAGCTGCTAGAAGTTGGATCATGTTCTCCATTGGAAAACTGACATGTTCAAGTCCTGAAATCTCCTACATCAAAATATTACCCTATTTGTGAATAGCATCCCTGCAGATACAGTCAGCTAAATTGGGGACATCCTGGAAGGTCATATATGTATATTTTAAGATGCTTCTCCTGTATTAGGTTTCCATACCACCCTTCAAATGGCCCTTCATCTTAGCTGTCTCTCAGCATATTGCATATTTCCTCCATCAGTCCTCCTTCCTTCCTCCTCTCCAAGCCTCCTGTTCTAGTGCTCCTCCATCTATACGTAACTATCTATTTTATTTAGCTTTTCTAGAAATATCTATCTATCTCCATTAGTCCCCTACTCTATACATAATCTCTGTGGTTCTATGGATTGTAGTTTATCATTAACTTAACAGCTAATACCCACATACAAGTGAATACATACCATATTTGTCTCTGGGTTTGGGTTACCTCACTCAATTTTTTCTAGGTCCATCAATTTATCTGCAATTTTATTTTTAAAAAAGGCTGGAATAATACTGTATTGTATGGGTGCACCACATTTTCTTTATCAATTCATCTCTTGAGGAACATCTAGGTTGTTTCCAATTTCTGGCTATTATGAATAGAGCTTTGGTGAACATGTTTGAGCAAGAGGTCTACAGTAGGATGAAATGTCCTTTGGGTATATGCACAAGAGTAACAGAGCTGGATCTTGAGGTAGATCAATTCCTAGCTTCCTGAGGAACTGCCACACTGATTTCCATAGTGGCTGTACAAGTTTGCAATCCCACCAGCAATGGATGAGTGTTCTTCTTACTCCACAGTCTTGTCAGCATGAGCTGTCACTTGTTTTGTTAATCTTAGCCATTCTGACAGGTGCAAGATGAAATCTCAAAGTAGTTTTGATTTGCATTTCCCTGATGACTAAGGATGTTGAGTATTGCTTTGTTTCTCAACCATTTGAGTTTCCTCTTCAGAATTCTCTGTTTAGATATGTACCCCATTTATAATTGGATTGTTTTCTTGATATCCAGATTTTTAGTTCTTTATATATTTTGGACATTAACCCTCTATCAAATATGTAGTTGGTAAAAAAATCTTTTCCAACTCTGTAGGCTGCTGCTGCTTTGTCCAAATGATGGTGCCCTTTGCCTTACAGAAGTCTTCCAGTTTCATGAAGTCCCATTTATTAATTGTTGATCTTAGTGCTGTGCTCATGTTCTGTTCAAAAAGTCTTTTCCTTTCATAATAAGTTCAAGACTATTCCCCTATTTCTCTTCTATCAGGTTCAGTGTATTTGATTCTGTGTTGAGGTCCTTGATCCATTTGGAGTTGACTTTTGTGCAGGGCTGTAAGTATAGGTCTATTTGGATTCTTCTAAATGCAGCCATCCAGTTGAGCAGTACCATTTGCTGTAGATGCTGACTTTTCACCAGTATGCATTTCTGGCTCCTTTAATAAGAATCAGGTGTCCATAGGTGTGTGGACTTATGTCTGGATCTTCAATTCTTCCATTGATCAATATGTCTCTTTTTATGCCAATACCATGGTTTTTTTTAATTACTATATCTCTATAGTAAAATTTGAAATTGGAGATGAGGATTCCTCCAGCAATAGTTTTATTATTTAGGATTTTTTAGATATTCTTTTTTTAAAATTTGTGTGTGTGTGTGTGTGTGTGTGTGTGTGTGTGTGTGTGTGTGTGTGTTTCCATATGAATCTGAGAATTGTCCTTTCAAGTTCTGTGCGGGATTTTGATGGGGATTGCATTTGAATCTGTGGATTCCTTTTGGTAAGATAGACATTTTTATTATATTAAGTCTACCAATCCCTGAGTATGGGAGCTATTTCCATCTTCTACTATCTTTTTAAATTTCTTCTTCAAAGACTTAATGTTTTTAATCATACAAGCCTTTCACATGCTTGGTTAGAGTTACCCCAAGATATTTTATATTATTTGAGACTATTGTGAAAGGTGTTTTTCTTCTGAGTCAGTCCATTTGCTACTTGCATATAGGAAAGCTACTGATTTTTGTGAGTTAATTTTGTATTCAGCTACTTTGCTGAAAGTATTTATCAGCCATAGGAGTTTCTAAGCAGAATTTTTGGGGTTACTTATGTATACTATCATATCATCTGCAAATAAAATACTTTGATTTCTTCCTTTCCCTTGATCCCTTGTATTCCCTTGATCTCCTTCAGTGGTCTTACTGCTCTAGCTAAGACTTGAAGTATTATATTGAATAGGTATGCAGAGAGTGGACAATCTTGTCATGTTCCTGATTTTAGTGGAATTGCTTTGAGTTTCTCTCCATTTAAGTTTATGTTGGCTATGGGCTTGTTGTAAACTGCCATTATTATGTTTAGGTATGCCCCTTGTATCCCTAATGTCTCCAGAACTTTTATCATGGAGCATGTTGGATTTTGTCAAATGCCTTTGACAGAAAAGAAAAAAAAAAAAAAAAAAAACAACAACAACATGAGATGCTTACATTTTGTTTTTGCTTTTGTTTTTTCCTTTCAGTTTGTTTATATGGTAGATTACATTGACAGATTTTCACAGGTTGAACCATCTGTCCACCTCTGGGATGAAGCCTACTTGATCTTGGTGGTTTATCTTTTTCATGTGTTCTTGGATTCGGTTTGCAAGTATTTTATTGAAAATTTTAACATCTATATTCACTGGTGAAATTGTCCTGTAATTCTCCTTGATTTTTTGCTTCTTGATGTGGTTTGGATATCAGGGTGGCAGTGGCCTCATAAAATAAATTGGACAATGTCTATTTTGTTTTTTATTTTTCAAATAATTTAAGAAGTATTGGAATCAACTCTTCTTTGAAAGTCTGATAGAGTTCTTCACTAAAATCAACTGGACCTGGGCTTTTGTTTTCTGGTTGGGAGACTTTTAATCACTACTTCTATTTCATTAGGGGTTATAGGTCTGCTTAAATTGGTTATCTGATATTGATTTAACTTTGATAAGTGGTATATACAAATAAAATTATTCATTTCTTTTAGATTTCACAATTTGGAAGACTACAGGTTTTTAAAGTATGTTCTGGATTTTAAAGTATGTTCTATGACTCTGGATTTACTTACTGTCTGCTGTTTCTAATTTGGTTTTGTTTCTAATGTTGTTAATCTACATATTTCTCTCCACCTTTTAGTCAACTCCTACTGAGTTTTTGCAAAGAATCAATTCTTTGTTTAATTGATTATTTATATTTTTTGTTTGTCTCTGTTTTATTGATTTCAGCTTTGAGTTTGATTGTTTCTTGTCATCCACTCCTTTTGGGTATTGTTTGTTGTAGTTCTCGAGCTTTCATGTGTGCTGATACTAATACCAGAGTTCTCCTATTTTTTTTTTAATGTAAGCACTTAGTGCTATGAACTTTCCTATTAGAACTGCCTTCATTTTATCCCATAAGTTTAGGTACGATGTATATTAATTTTCATTTTAGAAAGTCTTTTATTTCTTTATTAACTTTTATCAATCCATTTTATATTTAATACTGAGTTGTTAAGTTTCCACAATTTCTTAACTTTCTGTTGTTTCTGTCGTTGATATACAGTTTTAATCTGTGTAGTTCAGATACGATGCAGGGTGTTATTTCAATTTTCTTGCATCTGCTGACACTTCCTTTCTGTTCAGTATATGGTCAATTTTGGAGAAAGTTCCATGAGCTTCTGAGAAGGTATAGTCTTTTGTGTTTGGGTGAAATATTCTGTAAATATCTGCTGGGTCCACTTTGTTTATAATATAAATTAACTTCAGCATTTCTCTGTTTAGTTTTTGTCTGGATGTCCTGTCTATTTGCAAGAGTTGAGTTTTGAAGTCATCTACTATCACTGTGTGGAGAGTTAATTTAAATCACAATGTGATTTAAACTGTGGTAGTATTTATTTTACAAACTGTGTTTTCACATGTGTTTGGTGCATAGATATTAAGAATGCCAGTGTTCTCTAAGTGAATTTTTCCTTTGATAAATATGGAGTGTTTCCATTCCTAGCTCTTCTGATGAATTTTGATTTGAAGTCTATTTTGTCAGATATTAAAATGACTACATGGTCTTGCTTTTGAATCCATTTGTTTGGAATATCTTTTTCTACTCTTTTACACTGAGGTGATGTCTACCTTCATATTGAGGTGTGTTTCTTGGATGCAGCAGAAGGATGGATCCCATTTCCACATCTATTCTATTAATCTGTGTTTTTTTATTAGAGAATTTGTTTATTGATTCCTGTCATTTTTGTTGTTGTGGTTATGGTGGCAGTGGCGGCGGTAGTGTTGTTGTTGGTGGTGATGTGTGTGTGTTTCCCCTCATTGATTTGATGGGCTGGCATTATTTATTACTTGTAGTTTCTTGGGTGTAGTTAACATGTTTAGGTTGGAGTTTTCATTCTAGTGCTTTCTATAGGGCTGGATTTGTTGAAGTTACTGCTTAAATTTGGTTTTTTCATGGAATGTCTTTCTTTCTTCATCTATGGTGACTGAAAGTTTTACTGGGTATAGTAGTCTGGTCTGGCATCTGTGGTCTCTTAGAGTCTGTAGAACTCTGTCCAGGAACTTTTAGAGTCTCTATTGAGAAGTCAGGTATTAGTCTAATAAATCTCCTTAATAGTTTACTTGGTTACTTCCTCCTTGCAGTTTCTAACATTCTTTATTTGTTCTGTATGTTCAGTGTTTTTACTATTATGTGCTGAGGGGAATTTCTTTTCTGGTCCAGTCTATTTGGTGTTCTAGATGCTTCTTGCACCTTGATGGGCATCTCCTTCTTTTGTAAGACCCCGAGAAGCTCAGGCCTCCAGAATCTTTTCCCAGGACTGTGCCACCCCAACCACCAGAGAGGAGGCAGAAACTTGATGCAAACAGCAAGAGGCTTTAATGAAAGGTAGACGTTTGTACAAATGGGCTCTCTCAGCATGCAGGCTAGAGAGCAGCCCAGTCTGCTCAGGCTCAGGCATTTTTAAAGGCAAAAACCATAAGCTTAGAGAGGGGCCTTGACTCTCTGTAGGGTTGAATACGTGACCAGAGTCATGGATTCCCAGGAGGCCCTTTGTCTTGAGGGGAGGCCTGGGAATCAGATAGCCTCCTGACCCCACCAGTTGTAAAACCTGCAGACCTCAGGATGTGCTAACTAATGGTAACTATCTCTTTGTTTCATAAGGACCTTTAATTGTTAATGATTGACACATTGGCCAGTGGGGCAATCTGTTTCCTTCATGAGCCCCTCGGGGAGGGTGGCCATCTGGGAATTCTTGGTACCCAGTTATCTTATGGCCTTGTAAGGGAGTAATTGCTGGTGGCTGGTAAATTCCAGGCACTAAGTCATAGTAGTAAGCCTTGGTCAGTTTCTGGGCTATATTTCTTTGCTAATTTTTAAGTCTTTCACTTTAGGTTAGTGAAATTTTCTTCTGTGATTTTTTTGGAAATGTTTTCTGTGCATTTGACCTGAGTTTCTTCTCCTTCCTCTATTCCTATTACTTAGATTTGGTCTTTTCATAGTGTCCCAGATTTTCTGAATATTTTTTGCCAGAATAGTTTTTGACTTAAAATTTTCTTTGTCTGAAGTACCCATTCCTTCTACCATGTCTTCAATGGCTGAGATTATCCTTTCCATTTTTTGTACTCTGTTAGGCTTGCTTCTGTTAGTGAGGCTTGCCTCTGAGGCTTCCATTTGAGTTCTTCTATTTTTCTTTTCCAGATTTCCCTCAGTTTGAGTTTCCACTTTCAGGTCTTGGACTATTTTATTCATTTCACTGTTTGTGTCTTCATAAATTTCTTTGTTTTAAACTCTTATTCTTCTCTGATATATTACATCTCTACTGCAGTTTTCCTTCCCTCCACTTCTCCTGGTCCCTCCCCACCATCTCCCTCCTCCTGAAAGATATTGGCTTACCAGAACTCAATAAGTTATGGGCACAAATCCTCATAGATCACAGCTAGACATGGCAACCATTGGGAGGAAAATATGCCAAGCACAGGCAAAAGAATCAGATACTGCTTGTTCCCATGATTAGGGGTCTTACAAAAACACCAAGCTACACAAAGATAAGGTATATGCAGAGGACCTAGCTTAAACCCAAACAGGGTCTGTGTTTGCCTCTTCAGTTTCTGTGAGCCTCATGAGCCCTGCTTAGTTGATTCTGTGGCCTATGTTCTCATAGTTCCTTGAATCCCCCATCCTGCAATCCTTCCTCCCTCTTTTCCACAGGGTTTCCTTGGTTCTGCTTAATGTTTGGCAGTGGGTCTCTGCATTTGCTCCCATTGGTTACTGTATGATGCCCCTCTGATTACAATTGTGCTATGCACTGATCTTCATAGATTTCTTTAAGGTATTTTTCTCATTTCCTCTTTAAGGACCTCTATTATATTCATAAAGGCGATTTTAAGGTCTTCGTCTTGTGCTTCAGCTATGTTTCAGTACTCATGGCTTACTTGTTGAATACATATTGTCCTGGCTATTATTGTGTTTTTGCTCTGGAGTCTAGGCATCTGGTTATGGGAAGATTGCAATTCTAGGTGCTGATATCAGGTCTTGTTTTTGTTGGGTGGGTATTTTGTTCCTTGTCTTCTGTTTCCTCTTTGGTGCTTAGGAGAGAGTGGTGGCTGTGTATTGCCTGATGGGAAATTCTTTTTAGGATTCTGATAGATGTGACCACTGGAGTTTCCAGGTAATGTTTGATTCTAGGTATTGGGAGCTGATACTTAGGAATGGAGATAGTTTAGGTGAGAGGCCTAATTGGTTCCACAAGATGGAGGGATGCAGGTGTTCCTCCAGGATCTTCTTAGTCCCTTGGGAATGCAGGCAAAGAGTGAGGAGAAATCAAAATAGGCCATCTTCTAGAGAGCTTAGGATGGGATGGGGGAACAGAATATGGAGAAGAGGGACAGTGAAGATCTGAAACTTGTCTGCCTGCTTTGCTGGTCTACTTGCTTCTCTGGCAGGCCTTGCCAGTGGGTTCCCAAGGGATGTCTGCTAGATTTGGGAGTTGGGATAACAGGATGAGTGACAGGAAGGTTACAGGGGAATATCTGTGAGATACACTGGGGTTGGGGGCTGAGGGAGAGGGAGGCTGCATCAGGTGGTCTGCTACAGAGCCAGGAATAGGATTTGGAGATTGCATTTGGAATAGAGGAGGAATAGGTATAGATTGGCAGTTAGCCTAATTGCTCCCCTGGCCAGAGTCATTAACAAGTTTTATGGCTTTACTTACCCTGCCCAGCAATAAACAAACAAAGAGAACAACCTTAGCTCTCCCCTGGGACAAGCTATACAGCTTGGAATTGCTTAAATATTTTAATGTTCAGTGTGTGGTAAAGCTTAGAATGCTTGGCCCAGGTCGCAAGGTATAGTGTGGAAGTCCCACTCACTATAATTGTCCTGACCTTGGAATTTCTGTAGGATATATAAAACATCTTACTACTTTGAAAATAGTGTCTTGGGTATTAACGCTTTGTATCACTCATTCATCTAAAGACTGAAAGATAACCCTTTGAAAGCTGAATAACCCTGGGTTTGGGATGCACACTCAAAAGGAAGATGATGACTTGCTTGTTCCTGCTCTATGTTCTTCGAAGTTTGGCTCACAAGCTAAGAAGAAGTTATACTGCGTCTTGTCTGCTTCAGTGGACAATATGGAGGGAGGGGGGCTAGAGGAACACAAGTGGGAGGGGCTAGAGGAACATGAGTGGGTGCCAGACCTATAGCTACAGCTCACAAATGGGATATTACTAGAGAATTCCAGAGCACTGCCCTTAATGGATACCTGGGAGCAGCACACCAGCAACCTTCAGGTTCATTGTGACTGTGGTTGTTTTATTCACAATCTTGGATGGCATGCAATGAACTAGACCTTTCCTTGTAAACCATCACTCCTGCATGTCACGTTTGACTTCTGTTTTGCGTGTGTGTAGCACAACAGTCTGTTGTACCTCATAGCAACACACACCTGAACCCTCACACTTCCCAACCAAGAAAAAAAGAACCTGATGTTGTAGCTTCCTGATATGTCCATTTTCTCTTATTCATGGAGAATGTTTTATACATTTCCTTATAGAGCTCTATCACAAGATGATCAAGATGACATCCACCTAAAATTAGAGGATATAATTCAAATGGTAAGTGCAGCCACGGAATCCTTGAGGTGAGCAAACTCATGTGACCGACTCTGTGGCTGATCGTGTGGATCTGTATGAGAAGGGCCTCAGTCAACACAGTATCTGGCAGCTGCTTGGTTATCTTAATATTGTCTTTCATAGTTTTGAGTTTGCTGCATTTTCTGTCAGACCTAGACTCTAGTGAAGAACTTTATCCTCCACAGGTACACTGAGTTTTACTCCTTCACCATCTCTTGCAGGCAGACTGTCCAAAGGCCGAGTGCTTTGAGACATTGTCAGCCATGGAGCTGGCTGAGCAGATTACTCTCCTGGACCACATTGTCTTCAGAAGCATCCCCTACGAGTGAGTGCCCTGTCCCCTAGCAGGAAGTAGCTGGCCTAGGAGCTGCCATTATCTGTAAGACAGACAGGTGTGCACATGTACTCACCCATGCTCAGGGATGTTGAGTCTCCATCCCAGGGTGCTTTAGCATGCATGAATGTCTCTTGGTCCCAGTTCATGTTGAGCACATTGACTTGGAGATCCTTGACATGGTCTTGGTTTGTGTTTCTTCTATATGTAATAAGATTATCAAGAATGTGAATTTCTCTGTATTTTCCCATCTTCAAATTATAGAAACCTCACTACAGCTAGAAATGTGGTTCTTATTCCTGAGTATGTCTAAAGCCATATGGGAAACTTGTAGAAAATGTTCTCTCAGAGACAAAATTGCTGTGAAATTACGATTTTAGTATGTTTGGTTGAGGTCCAGAAAATTGTCTTTTCATGAGAACCTCAAATAGTTTGGAGGGGCCCAAAGCTTTGCTCGGAGAAGCATTGACCCACAGTTAATGCACTAATGTCTGCTACAGGTCTTCAGGCCTCCTGTAAGTCAGCATATTCTGCTGAGCCCAGTGGCTGTGGGCCTGCTGCTGTCCCATCTCTTCATTTTCTCCTATATACAAAGGGGAGGCTCTCTAAGCCTCCAGCAATCACACTGACTTGAAAGACCCTTAAACAGATCTGTGCTTAGACAAATGACAACCGTTAGCACACATTATCCATTAACTGTTAACTACACTGAAGGACACAGAGGGGAGGGGCTGGGCAAGGCACAGAAATGGGATCCTTATCATACACAGGATGTCCCTGGTGATGGAGGAGTAAGTGAGGTCAGAGCAGATGGGTGAGGCAGTTAGACCAGTAGTGATGTCAGAGAGGCATGAGGGAAGAGCCTGGGAACACTCAAGTAGGCTTTTTTTTTTTTTTTTAATGCATTTCGTCTTCTCTTTTCCCTGGCTTACCTGAATTTGTAGACCTACCCATGCACATGAGCAGAGTTGAAATGGGAATCTGGTTCATTGGTCATTCAAAGGAACCCAGTGACATTCTGAAGACTTAGGTTAGGAAACACAGTAGCCCTTCCACAGGGACCCCTCACCTCCTCATGATCACCAAGAGCTTTGAAGGCGGGTCCTTGCCTTCTCTACAAGAGGAGAAAGAGCCAAGCGAGAACTTGTGGCTCTTGCTGTGGAATCTTCCTGGAACTCCCATTTCTCCCTGTATGCCTGAAACATCCACCAGTTATTTCCAGTTGTGAAACTGTGTCCACACGTCTATGTCCACCTGCAGAACAGGAGCCAGGAGCAGTACCAACTGCAGCGAGGGAGGGCCCAGCCAACATTTCTGCATTAGGGATGCAATAGAATGGTTTCATTTCATGTTGCTTTCTAAGTGCCCACACAAAATGATTCCTATCTCAACTGTCCCATGAGTATTGAAGTCTAGTGACCTGTTCATGAATGAAATGACTGCACAGAGGGGACAACAGAAGACTATCCCCCCACCAGGCTCAGCGCTCTGACTTTGGAAACTTTCACTCTTCTGAGAAAATAAGAGCACAGTGCAAGGAAGACTTCGGTTCTAGGAGTAGTTTTTGGTCAAAATACATCATCTGGAATTGAAAGACGTATTTAGAGACTAACCCAGAGGAACTCATCTCCTTGAAGGCTGAGTTAGTCATCACTTTATTTCTCTTACGTTGGCAGCACTTTCTGGTTTCAGAGAAGCCTTTCTTGAGACAAAATTCCAAACAGTAGAGACTGAAAAGTCTTTTTCATTTTGGCAGGAAGTGGTGGGATACTAGGCTTGAGCTGCAATTCCTAGAGATGATCAGTAAAAACTGGTGTCGGGTGGGGGATAATATGCCAGGAATGTTAACTTAAATGGACCCGTCTAATGTGCATAACTATGCAGAGTCTCGACACCATTTCTCACAAACTTCCCTGGTTTTGTGTTTTATTCTTAACTTCCAGAGAGTTTCTTGGGCAGGGCTGGATGAAGCTGGATAAAAATGAAAGGACACCTTACATCATGAAAACCAGTCAGCACTTCAATGAAGTGAGTAGCCCACACGCAGCTGCGGGTGTGGTACAGGAGGGCGAGTGCTGTGGGTTTTGGCTTTCTCTTGAGTAAAGCAACTCTGGGACTGTGGATGTAGCTCAGTGGAGGAACGCTTGGCTAAACATGCATGAAACCCTGGATTTGAGGCCCAGAAAGAGACATAAACAAACTCTGTCATCACTATTTATGCAGAGCTAATTGAATAGTATGAGCAAGCTTAAATATCCTCACATTCTCAAAGGGAAGTGATAATTTTCAGACATAAGAGGCCCCATTTTGATAGTTCCCAGGTCTGGTGAGTACTTAAGCGTGTGTAAGATGTTGCTATTATTATATTTTTATCATAATCGCTATCATGCACAGACTAACTGAATGAGTAGTGTATGTACTGACCTCTGGTGGTGGCAATAAGATTGCATCAATGTGACTGCTAAGCTGACCTTGGAAGGGACTTCTTACAGCACAAGCTCATTGATGCAGTGGTTACCACTGTCGGTCTCCAGCAGTAAAATGAGGAGTCGATTTTGTATCCAACTCTTCACTGATTCTGCTTCAATAGCCTTAGTCTTGTGAGATAATAAGTAACAGCCATGGAGGTGGCTTCAGAGCTGTCTAGGCAAAGGGAAGCTTCCTTTCCCATTTCAGTGCAGTATATATAGCACAAGGAACAGTGATGATGTTCACATGAGCAAAGGATCTGCATTGACAAGGTGGCCGGTCATCTAAAACCAGGGTACCAAGACAGCAGTGCAAAGTCCCAAGATAGAGCTCTGCACAGGGTCCACTCAGAATACACAGATGCTAAGTGAGGTGTAATGTAAGGAATGTGCTCCATCACCTGGGCTACACATGGGGCACTCCAACTGAAGAGTCAACCCCAGGGCCACATATCTCCCTTGTGGGTCTAATCTAGCCAGTAGCTGAGCCTGCTTCTGTAGTTTCTAATGTGAGAATTGGCATCACCATGTCTTCAGCCAGGCATGGAATCCATAAATCACAGGTGCTTCCTTCCTATCCCCTACTCATCACTTCCTGTCTCAGTAGAAGACCACAGATATGATGATGGAAATCACGGCAGAGCAGAGGACCTGATATCCTGATGAGGAGACAGGGGCCTCTGGAGACAAGGATGACAAATTGTCAGGGCTCCTACATGCTCAATTGAACAGCTGAATGGCAGTCCTGGATGAGGGAAAGATAAGGGAAAACACAGATGGATTTTTTGTCAGGGGGTGCCATAATTAGATTGACACTTCATGAAGCATAGGGTCAAGGTAGTGAGATGGCTAGACTGGCTGGCCAATGAGCTCCTGAGTCTGCACTGGCTCCTTACAGATGCATCCTGACATGCCCAGCTGAGTGCTGAGGATGCAAACTCAGGTCCTCTTATTTGCACAGCGAGTTATCCATTGAGCCATCTCCCCAGCCTTGGAACAAACATAGCTTTGCATTTCACAGTTTGCTGTTTACTTATTTACATATTTTCTGCTGCTCTTTATCCCTCATAGCTGGGTTCAGAATACCGTAAGTCCAGTGCATTAGTCAGCTTTCTGTTACTATAGTGAAATATCCAGGATGACTAACTTATAGAGAGAAAAGGTGTATCAGCGGACTAAACTGCTCAGGACACAGACAGGAAGCAAGAGAGGAAGAGGGAGGTGCAGAGTTGCCACAGTCCCCTTCAATACATGCCTCTTGGACACAGGACCTTCCAACAGTGCCACTCTAGGACTCCTAGTCAATGGGGAACATTCAACATCCAAACTGTACCAGTTAGGGACATGGATTCCCCTCTCCTTTTGTTCCTAGCACCTAAGACAAATCTGTCCTAGATCACTTTCTGAATAATTATTGGAAATAACGTCCTTGTCAAAATTATTGATTAACAAAATCACCTCCCCCATAACAAACTGAATTCTATGTCATTCTCCACATTAAAGTTAACAAGTGATTAACCCTAGCGTGTGCTTTAGTGATTTTCTATGTGACACCCAAAGGCATTGTGAGAGCTTTTATGTCTTCAAAGAGATGTAATGCATGGAAACAAGATCACACATACCATTCGCCCCCTTTATGAGGGTTATATTTCACCCTTTCCTTTATTTTGAAAGTTGAGCTGCTTCAGCTGGCCTTAGTTGGCAGAATTACAATCCTTAACTTTAGAGTTAGTCTGTCTGTTTTGCCAGTGAAATTTTGCAAGAAGTGTGCTTTCTTTTTCTATGCTAAGTGATTTTCTGGTTTGAGAGGTGAACAAGTTACACTTCGGATGAATGGCTGGCTGGAGAGATGGCTCGGCCTTTAAAGGCTAGGCTCACAACCCAAAATATAAGAATTCAGATTAGTAGGAAGCCACAGTTTTCCTTTCTATGCGAAAACTGAGGTTTCCCACAGTATATTATCTACACACAGTTCATACATGTCCCCAAGAGGTGACACCCTGGTCTGCAATATGTCCTTTCCTCTGTAATTAGATCATTCATTTCATTCCCTTTCTTGGCAAGGATTCCTTCATCAAAACTACTGATTTTAAAAGATCCAATTTTCCTCCAACAAGCTGCATTCTGGGAGTTCCCGCCTCTGCTCTCAGGATGAACAGGTGTGGGTGGTTTGTTGCTATTGTTATTATTGTAACAAATTCCTGTCTCTTTGAAAGCTGGTGTCTCAAGATGGGCCAAGGGCTTTGTGCTACTTAATAACCTGCTTTCCATATGGGCTCACCGGCCATGCAGGTGTTTGCCTGGGTTCATTGTTTTGGCTCTTTGGCAGCTCACTGGTCTCTTTGATTGGCATAGATGAGTAACCTGGTGGCCTCCCAGATAATGAATTATGCTGATATCAGCTCCCGTGCCAATGCCATTGAGAAGTGGGTTGCAGTAGCTGACATTTGTCGATGTCTACACAACTACAATGGTGTGCTGGAGATCACTGCGGCCTTAAACAGAAGTGCCATCTACAGGCTGAAGAAAACCTGGGCCAAGGTGTCCAAGCAGGTGAGCATCAGTGTGCCACACACCTTGCTATCAAGAGCTGGAGAGGTGGGGAGAGAGACCTGAGATGAATACTGCTAATTAGGAAATCATTAGTTGAAATGAGCAGGACAGTTGCCAAAGGAAGGTGCCAATAGATAATTACCCTGCTCTTACCACTTAATTAATTCCCCTCCGGTGTGTCTCCAAAACACTCATTAAAACATTTGGGGGGACAACCTCAAACAACATGACTGTCAGTCATGACTTGCTTCCTGAATTCTTTCTGGAGGGCAAACTAGCCCACAACTGCCCAGTGGATTCTTCCCTGCCCCCATCTCCTCCAAAGCCTTTGTCCCCAGAGACCTCAATTTACAACATTTCCTCTGTCCATCTGGGAGCAGCTTTCGAGTTTTGGCCTGGTGACTTAGACATGCAGACATGTGACTGTTGTTTTTCCATTAGATTTAGCTTACCTCTGATATTTCCACTCAGATTATTTCAACAGTCAAGTCAAATCCTACTGCCCCCTGCCCTTCTAGCCTTCTCCTTTGGTATTGGTGAGTTTGGGAGAGGCCTTCTAAAAGGCTGTCTGGAAGACTTTCTCTGGACTTCTAGAAGGCTGTCTCCATCTCTGGCCCCAGCCCTTCACTGATTGGTCATCAGGTGTAGGATGTCCCTGGTGTGCATGTGGTTTACCCAACCTTCCCAGGAGCAATAATCCATGATTGTTCCAAGCCAGTTGGACTAGCCTTGTCTTGTCCACTCCATTGGCTCTGCTAATGACCTGAGCCTAGGGTGTGTCTCACCTCCACCACAGGCTGTTGTGCCATTGGTGACCCTGTAGGGCATCAATGTGAACTATCCATTATTGGGTTACTACCTTGATCCTCACAAAGGGTCTTGAAGGAATCTCCCAGGCTCCTCCATACTGTTCTAATGCCTGTTGGGAGGGGATCTGTGCCATGTACTCTTAGTCTAACCTTTTACTGCTATGCACTTTGCTATGCACCTTGATGTACCCACCGGAATTAGAGAGAGGTATCCCACAATGCTTGTCTCACAGGGCAAGACCAAAAGAGCATAAATGTATCCTGCTGCCATTTCTTCAGGTTTTGGTACTATTGCCCCCTGAGGGCTTAAGACCCCCTCAGATGAACTCATCATTTCACCTGTCTTCACTAATCTCTCTGAGCCCTTCCCTCCAGAGCAGGAGTTTCTTTAAGTTCTCCATGTAGCCAGAAAGTAGGCTCTCACAGCTCCTCTCCTCTTTTATTCCTTTGTAAAAAGGCAGTGCTGGGAACCTGAACTTGGATCCTTAGAAATCTGGGCCAACAAAGCCTGGAATGATTAGTAAAGGAAATACATTTTTTTAAAATGGTGTTATTTTGTGAATAAGAATAAAACTCCATTTAAGTCAACCATGGATTCATAAATAGCCATAAAAATGATATAAAGACTCTTTTCCCCTTATATAGGCCCTTTCTCTCCACTGAACACACACACACACACACACACACACACACACACACTCCCAGTCAGGAAATAAGTGTGCCATTGTTTTGTTTAATTGGTTAAAACTTGTGAACTGTGCCAAGGCCTCCTTCAAGCATTAAGGAAGTCCCAGGCCTTCTCTAAAACTGACTTCAATGCTGTTCTTGACCTTGAGTGGGTACAACAGAGAGATTCTTAGCTCATGTTAAAATAACTGTATCAAGTTTTGTGGGCCATGCAGTAACATCATCAAATAGACTACACTGTTTCAGTCAATGTATGAGTCACTGGCAATTGCCATAGCATGAGTTGTCTGATGGTTCACTAGAGTGGTGGTATCTACAACCAAATACCTCACTCCAGGCACAGTCAGAAGGGTCTGGTCACTGAGGTGCCTGCCTCCAACAAATTTGGCAATAATGCCTTCCCCACAGCAGGTCTGAGATCAATCTGGAGGATGTCCAGAAGGCCTGTGGAACTCTCTAGATTTGTGACTGTCTATTCGGGAGATTGTACTTATAAAGTTTCTTTGGACCATGGCCAGTTCCACATCAGGAAGGAGGCCCCTCTGAGATCTCAGAATTTTGCATGGGGATGCCTACATTTTGGATAGATGTGGAAACTGATAGGAAACTATATATCTCCTCTCTAACCCAAATCACAGTCACATGATCTTCAGTCTAGGCATGCTAAATGCTTTTCACAGTCGGCCCTGCAGCATCAGGCCCCAGCAAGATGCCTGTGTGTGGCCTACTAGGAGTGAGTCCTTATCCCATCCCCCAGGGCCACACTGCCATTCTTCCATGTCTATGGGAGAAACTCCAGACCAATGTCAACAGCACTGTTGGGTATTTGTAAAGGATAGAATTAAACTTCTGGAGCAAATTCATGAGCATGTTCACTAAAGAAAGGATCTGGAGTAGAGGGAATTGTTTAGCTTACATCAAAGCAGCCAAATACTTGTTTTGATGGTTTGGAGAGCCATACTATAAATGATTCACCCTGGGCTGGGCATGTAACTCAGAAGTGACACACATGTCCAGTGTGTGCAAGGTTCTGGGTCAGATTCCAGCACTTCAATAGAAGAACAGGTGTGGTCCTGCAATCCCTTTTAGGAACCCCCCCCCCTTTAAGATGATCATTCAATGTCTGCTCAAGTACCTAAGTCTTGTTTGCATCACAGTTTTCTTTACATTTTTCCTCATCCTGTGGCAAAAGCCTGGGATCTAGACACTTCCTCTCTTGTGGGATCCTTCCCTTCTTTTAAGCACTAAATGGCATCAGCACCTGCCACTGAAGAAAAGAAAAAGAAAAGTCCTACAACTATGCACTCTCATCAAATGACAGTGTTTTGCTGACAAACTATGTTGTTTCTTCCCTTTTTAGACAAAAGCTCTGATGGACAAACTTCAGAAGACTGTTTCATCTGAAGGAAGATTTAAAAACCTCAGAGAAACTCTTAAAAAGTATGTCTATCTTAATCATTAAATGATTCACAATTCAAGAATATGATTAAATAATTTACATGGCAGGCAAATAGTGATCTACTCCTCCATTGCTGGAAAAGAAGAAATAGGAAGGAGCTCCAATTGTTGCAATGTTTGGGGATTTTACTTTTCATTTGGAATTCTGTGCATATAGTGAGCATCTTATGGAAGTACCATGGTGAGTAAAGATTCTGTGCACAGTGAGCATTTTATGGAAGTACCATGGTGTGTACAGATGTTGTGCACAGTGAGCATCTTATAGATACTGTGAATATAGGAAGTATACTAGAGTTGTATGCAGTATATCCTAAATAGGAAAGTATTACCATAAATTTCCATAAAATTGTTCAGTTAGTATTTATTAATCTAAACACGATGATCTACTGTAAATTTTTATGTAAATATCCCAGAAGTAGTTAATTGATGTTATTACTGTATTTACTTTTTGGTCTTTTATATCTACATTATTCTTTCTACACACACACACACACACACACACACACACACACTTGAGGAAGGGAGAGAACAAGAACTCTTTTTGCTTGTCACTGGTTTTCTTGTGGTTTAACACATGAACTTGGCTTACTCTGGGAGAACATTTGTCTGGTGTCACACTGGTAAAAGAAAAGTGAAAGTCATCTGCACATTGCTAGTACATCAATAAAAGCAATAATAGCAAAGCAAGTACTTGCTAAATATTTATACATAATAAACTTCTTAAGCCTCACAATAAACTTGAGAGATTAGCTTTTCTGTCTCCATTACAGGTGAGGAAAGTGTAGACCAGGGAATACCCTGTACAGTACCCCTGAGCACTGGTCAAGCCAGGATTCAAACTCTGTTCTCTCTGCACCAAAAGCCATATCCTTAGCTTTAGGCCTTACCAGGAAGACTAAGTATACCCAGTTCACCTGAACAAGTGTCTTCTGTAGTTGTGCTTTCTTATCCAGACTGCCAGCCTGCAAACACAGACATGGAGACTTATTGCTAATTAAGAAAGCTTGGCATTTAGCTTAGGTTTGTTCCCATCTAGCTCTTATAACTCAGTTAACCCATAATTTTAATCTACATTCTGCCACATGGCTGGGTTACCTCTCCTCAGTATGACACATCCAACTTTTTCCCAGTCTGCTGTCGAAATCAGAGCACCTAGATTCCTCCGCCTCTTCCTCTCTCTCCCTGGAAATCCAACCTAACCTCTCCTCCCTAGCTATTTGCCATTCAGCTCTCTATTACACAAATCACAGCAATACATCTTCCCATAGTGTACGAATATCTCACAACAGTCTCCCTCATGGCTTTAGAGTATATCTGTGATGGCTGTTAAATCCAAATCTTCTAAAGCATTTCCAAATCGCTAAACGGAAAATGTTTTTCCTATGGTGCAAGTCCTAACTGTATGTGTGCAGGAATAAGAACCACTCTTCCTGGCCTTGCAGCTGTAACCCTCCCGCTGTCCCTTACCTTGGGATGTACTTGACAGACCTGGCCTTCATTGAAGAAGGAACACCGAACTTTACAGAAGAAGGCCTTGTCAATTTCTCTAAAATGCGAATGGTAGGTGGCCGTTCTGTGATTGGCCTGTGTCGGTAACTTCACTGCTTAGTGAGAAGAGGCTAGGTAATGAGGGTGGTGTTAACTTCTGAACCTTGAGGTGGAAAAGAGGGTGGAGACACCTGTTGTCTCCAGCTGAAGAGATTTTTGACAGTGATTTCTTGAAGTCTGGGTCCAGGCTGTGGGCAATAAACGTCCAAAGATAATTTTCTGAGACTGACCAGTAGGCAGATGCATGCCTATCCTTGCTAGACAACCATATTCCAAACACCAAGTTAGAGGCTAGAAACCCACAAGAAGCCGAACTCAGAGCTTCCCCCTGTGACCTTCTTGAGAAGACCCAGGATCAGCTGACACAGTGATTATGAGTTCAGGGCCTTCATCTTGGCTTTACCCTTGAAAACATAGGAAGTGATCAGACAAGGTTCCTCATACCCCATGGAGAACAAGAATCAGGGATGTCACCCTGGGACAATGCATTGTGATGCAAAGGAATGTTTCTGAATTGCTTTCGTTTTGGGTTTTGTTTGCTGTTAGATATCACACATTATTCGAGAGATACGCCAGTTCCAGCAGACGGCTTACCGCATAGACCAGCAGCCAAAGGTAACACTGTGGGCTAGTGAGAACATACAAAGACAGATGAGAAATTAGTGGACTATGTAAAACCTCACAGCTGAGGAGTAATATCAAAAGCTGACTTACAGCAAGGACCTAAACCAAAACTGGTCAGCAATTCTGACTGAGAAAGGGGAAGTTGGAAAGATCAACTGATCGTTTATTCATTGTTGAGCATATGTTTCTTGGGATCTGATCCTCTTCCTTCTGTTTCCAGTACTCCCATCCCATTCTGTCCTCTCTAGATTACAAAATCCATTCTACAACTAGACAGAGTGTTCTTAAAACAGTGAAAAGTAGCCTGCTTCAGTTTCTTCCTTGAGTTCCCATGTTGGCCCCTTTCAATGATGGACTATAAAGTGTAAGGTGAAATAAACTTTCCTCCCAAAGTTGCTTTTGGTCCTGGTGTTTATGATAGCAACAAAAATAAGCCTAGAGCAGTGAGTGTATGTATCTATCAGAACTATACTCATATGAGTTATAAACATTATACTTCAATAAGAAGGAAATATTTTCCCGGAAATGCGTCACCCACCCCCTTACACCTTAGTTTCTAGTGTCATTTCTTTTCCTTATTCCTCGCTCACATCTGTCCATCAGAGCATGCACACATGAACACCAGGAAGCAAGCTGACAAGGATTTCATCCTGACCATGGGTTGTAAACTACTGACCACAACTCTACATGTATCAATGTGCTATCCATTATTAAAGCCACTGACATGCTACACCCTCACGGCTGTAAGCAGTGAAACCTCCATGTGCCTGTGTTGCAAAGAGGAAAGTAAACCTTTCTTGTGGATGGTTTCTTGTCCTGCTGGGTCCTACTGCCCTTCAGCCCCAAATAAATACATGGACGGTGTATTCATTATTAAACTGTTGGCCAATGGCTTGGCCTTCTAATTGTCTAGCTCTCTCTAAATTATTTATCCATATCTGTTAATCTATGTATTGCTATGAGGCTGTGGCTTACCCGTAATCCAGCATGTTATTCCTTCAGCAGCATGGCATTTCTACTGCACCTTTCTTCCCAGAATTCTCCTCATCTACAAAATGGGATTAATCATAATTCCTGTGCTGTCTACCTCACTGGATGAGGAGAATGCCTGGCCATCAATGTTTTATTCATCAACCAATAAGAGAAACATGTATACAGAAGAACATCCCCCATCAAACCTTGATAGATGATATGATTCTGTTGATCACTATGAGGTTAAACTTAATACTGTTCATACGTATGATGCATATCAATGCACAGTAACACATCTGAGATTCCTATCACCAGTGGCAACAGACCTCAAGAGTGCTGACTGAAACTAGAGGTTGGAAGAGGACTACTTTTATAATAGCAATATATTCATTAGTTTTTGTTTTATAAACATTCCAAATGTCTCAGGGAAAATGTTGAGTTGTGTCAGATTCATTCAGAAAAAGTCCAGCTGATCTTCTGAGAGAAGAATCAGCTGGGCTCTCCTCTCTTCCTCTCTCTTTTCAGGTCATACAGTACCTGCTTGACAAAGCCCTCATCATAGATGAAGATACACTCTATGAGCTATCGCTCAAAATTGAACCTCGTCTCCCTGCTTGAAGATTTGGCCTTGTCCTTGAGAACATGGGAATTACGTGTAAAGTGTGTCACACATGGCACAGCAGGGACCCAGAGGGACAACACCTGCTTCTGTTCAGCACCAAAGATGGAACCAGACTGCAGTTCTGTCTCCAGCCAGAGTGAAGCCCAGCTGCATGGGTCAAAGACAGATGCTCCAGCCTTGGGTGGGAAGGTGTAAAACTTGAAGTTTAGTGAAGCTTATGGCACAATTTGCATAAGGGATGTAATGTAGGAGATGCTGGTAACCATTACAATGAAGTGGAATGAAGGTAAAATTCCCCTGTCCCATGTTCTGTTAGAACTTGGGGACAAGAGCCCACAGAGAAGGCCTGTAACGTTTCTTTGGCATTCTACTAGCCTGGGCTTGACTCTACCAATCTTCTACAACTTAATTGCTTCTGTTACATTTCCTTTTTGCTAAGTGTCATGGCTAGGCTGAAGCTTCTCCTCTAGGCCCCACCCATAAGCAGTCTCAGTATGCAGCATGTGCATGGTTCTCAATGCATTCTACATGCATGGGAGGAGTGGCGTGCTCTGAAAGCAGCCTTTTGGCCTTTAGGCAATGGGACAGGAAATAAAAGACTGAAAAACAAGTGGATTTGTTAGTAGCATTTCCTTAATTACAAGTAAGCAGTGCCCCACAGGCTTGAGTGGGGTCTTCATTGAGAGATTGGTCCTGGGAGAGATGGCTATGGAGGCTGCAGTAAGGTGCATGCCTATGTCAGTTAACTGATAAAACTTGGGGTGTGATAATAAGGCCACCAAGTGCTGTGGAGGGAAATGCCTTTAACAAAGCAAACATGGAGGCCTAAAGATCATCTTTGTACCTGGGTTCACTTGTTTTCTTTTTCCCTATCATGCTCTAGAAACCTTTCCCAATGTGTACAAACTTATTCGGGTTCATTATGAACATTGTCTGTACTTTAAAAACAAACATTTTGTAGCATTCTTCTCTTGAAAACCCACACTTCTATGTGATTGATAGACACTCTTCTCCCAGTCATTTTTGTTTTAAAAAAGACAAGAGCAAGAACATTTCCAGTGCGTGGGAAATGGCACTGGGCATACCATAGCTCTTAGAGGAGAAAACCAAATCCTGGGGTTTGCCCTGCACCCCAAGCGGGGGCAAGTGACCCATGCTCCACACAACGGTCAGTTGTCCAAGGAATAGGGCTCTCCTTGATTACCTTCCTCTCCTGTTCTCAGGGAGACCAATCTTTAGAAGGAGGAATTGATGACAATGAGGGATTACTGTTATTACCTTGAGCCTAGCGTACCTGGCATTTTCTCTTAGCGGCATGATGCTGATTGATGCTGACCATAAGATTGATCTGCGTGGCAATTTCCCCTCTTCCTTTGCATTTTAATTATGTGATAGAGCTAACAGCTAATACATTCCACTCGATAGTTCCAAAGGCCCAGTGAAAGAGCTAGTATTGGGAATGTACCATAGAACTAGAGAAAGTATATTGTCTGCAGAGTGAGGGTCATCCCTGTACATAACTGCATAGAGAACTATAAGCTAACAGCATAGCACTAAGATCCCTGAAGGGCCACTTAGGAATGCTCTCTCCTTTTTATTTATTTATTTTCTGGCTTGCTTGTTTGTTCTCTTCAGTTTCAAATAAGAGGTTGATGCATAGTGATGCATGATGAAAGCATGAGCTGTTGGATCCTAACTGTGCATACCTCATGACTTATTTCTTGGTGTTCAGAAGCCAGGCGTTTGAAATCCTGTCACAAACAGTGAAAGCTCTTAACAGAGAAAAAATAAAGGTTAGCATTCCTGAGAGGACCACAGAATACTAGTTTCACACAGGTCACTCCTGGGGAAGGGGTACCCAGACCACCTTCATCCCCTCCCCATCTCCACGCCACCCCATCCTGCCCTGCAGAAGATGGGTCTGTGTGCACTTTCCATGGGAGTTTGGGCTCCTGTTTTTCCAATGTTATCCCAGAGGCTACCCATCCATTCTTTTTTAAGAAAACTGAGAGGAATTTCTAACACTCCTCTCCTGTTGACATGCAGCTTTTCCTCAGCTAGTGGGGCCACTTTGGAGCCTGTTTCCAGTGGAAGAGCCTCCAGTGGTCATTTGTAGGCAATGCCATTCTTTTGCTCACTTAGATTTTTTTCTTTGGCTTGTTGTTGCTAAAGAGACCTGGATCATTCATGCATCATACAAGGCAGGGATACATGTTTGAAAACAAAACACGTCAACTTGGTCATGGTTAAAATTCACCACAGCAGTCTGTGATTCACTTCTGATTGTTGAAGCCCTGGTCTTTTGAAGCTTTGTGTGTATTTGTGGGGAACAACAAATGCACTCCTAGATGTGTCTACCAACAACCCACTTTCTGAGATGCATTTCTTAGAGCATTTGGGAGGCCAGCTTCAAACGGTCAAGTGGTTCTACAAAATTAACAGGAAATCAGCCCGATTTCATGCTTTCAAATGAGCACATTTTGTTTGGTGGGTCGAATTACCTTAAAGGACTTCGGGGGATGCCTAACTAAGATATCCTCTCTTAGTGCAGAAACAAATCTCTTACCTAAGCCAGTCTATGTGACAGTTTCAAGCACGAAGTATAATGCTGTTGTTTTTCTTTTGCAATTCCCCAGAGGAATTTAAAGAGGGAATTTTAAAGTGCTGTGGTGGCAATGCTTCAGAGTGACTCTAACACAGTCTCCTTTACTGCCTGGTTTATCAGGGCATCTCAAAGAACTACATATAAACAAATGGAACTCATGGATACTGGGTCCGGAAGAGAGGAACTCACTGTAAACCATCTAATGTGGCCATAGGTCTTCCCCATTCTCATCTTATGAGAGATAGGACTGTAGGCCACCAGTGATTGTCTCTTACTCTAAGAATAACGCAATAAAGTGCTCACTCCTAAAACTGTCAACTTTCACATTTTCAAAAAGGATCTTACTTAGCTTTTTCTTTCAAAATTTAGTGTTATTCCCCATGAAAAGATCTCCTGTTTTAAATGTGTTTCTTTTAAATACAACCTACAAAATTTATCATTTTTACTAAGGTTGAGATGGCATAAAAGTTAATACACTATTTTTAGCCAGGCAAATGTCCGAAACTGGAGGAAATTAATAAAGGGAACTCATTTTCATTTCTGTGAGAAATAAGATTGTAAGTTTAGTGACTTTTTAAAGATATCACTATGTGATTCCTGGAAATACAGCTGTAGTCGGTGGAATGTAACCAGCATCATTAAGAGGTCACTGTTAGCTTAAAAGCAGGACAGAGAGGACCTTTTGGTGTAGGGCAGACACATGAGTGACCTAACAGTTTCCATTTCAGCTGCCTCAGGGCATGACGTCAAGATTAGGGTTGACTATTCTCCACCTGATCTGCTCCAGGAAAATAATCACCCTCCCTCACAATGTTGAACCACTGTCTTTATACAACGCATTTCAGTTTTCACCAGAAAGCTGGTCATGAAAGAGCACTGAACCAGATCTGAGTCTCAGCTCAGCTCTGCATTGTCCAGAGGAAGAGACTTAGGCCAGTGTTTACACCTCTGAGTCTCAGTTTCCTCATCTACAAAATGGGATTAATCATAATTCCTGTGCTGTCTACCTCACTGGACTGTCCTGAGGACCAAAGGAGTTGGAATGTTAACTTTAAAGTGCTGTGCAACTGTGAGCTAACTGTTACCCTTCTGGTCTCTCTTTTGCAGAGGAATGAAATGTACTTATTATTTGTATGTATGTGTGTGTGTTTGTGTGTACAAACACATGTGTTAGTCAGAGAAACACAATGTGTCTGGTTACATTGCAAATCTCCTGTCATTTGTAACTCTAATGAGGGATTCATGCTGTGGCCTAGCACTTGCCAAGTAAGGCAGAGGTTATGCCGATATACAAATTAAATTTCGCCTTTCTTCAGTAATCAAAAATCTCATGATTTCTTCATTTATCTTCTTCCCCATTTTGACACTGTCCTCCACACCAATTGGCTCTTTTATTTAGCATTTTACTTCTACAGCTCAGGTACAAAGAACACTTAGAAGAATTTATTTTGCAGACTAAATTACTAAGCAGAGAATTAGAGGGTAAGGTCCTCCAAAAATTGCAAAAGATCACCTTGTCCTACTCCATTTCTAGTTCTTAAGTCTGTTCCAGGGCCGTTCACAGCCCATGCCTCGCTACTTCCGGGAACAGAGAACCTGCCCTGTCCAGGCAGCTCATGTGACTCAAGGGTGGATTCTCACCCAGTCACCACTAGCTCTGACCTTCAAGAGCTTCTGTGTTGTCTCAGGTTGCATCTTATTAAAAATGAAGACTCCTGTCCATGTCTAGAATGGCTGTGGTGCTTACTTGGGCTAATATATATGAAAATACTTAGACGAGATTGTCCTTGGACTAATATATATGAAAATACTTAGAAGAGATTGTCCCTGCATCTAGGGTTGAATCAGGTTACAGCTGTTGAGCACAAAGACAAACTGCAGAAAGATGACCCTTAGCTTCCTTTTCCAGTTGTGATGTGAACCACCCAGGCTGGAGGGACGCAAGGACACAGACTACACACATCTTCCTGTTTGACCACCTCACAAGGTTGTTCCTCCCTGAGTGCCCCCATCTGGAACCTGCTCTAACCCACATGCCAGATAGATTTAGGGATAGCTAAGGAAGTGAGACCAGACCAGATTTCTGTGTCACGTTAAAGCAAGTGACACAGCAGCTGCACACTCACTTCCATTCTTCTCCCTATGGCAAAAGCCAGCCACACGGTCACATCACCACGAGCTTGGGGATTGGCGCTGATGAGAATGGGATAGAAGGAATATGGCAGGAATTGTGTGAGCTGAACTTGCAGACACTCCTAAAACTGTTGAGTCAATTGTAGAAGTTTCCTGTCCCCGTTGCAGCTTTTTTATCACAAGCTTAGAAAGGAGCAGTGATTTTCTCAACAAGTCCCCCAGCTTCTGACCTAACTCATATAAACTTAATCTGCAAAA